GACCAATGCCTTGCTAAAGAAGCTGAGGATAAAGATGATGGACTGGCCAAGCATATCTCGGCCCAAACCCTATTGAGCATCTGTGGGGCATCCCGAAACAGAAGGCTGAGTACGCAAGGTCTGTAATAACCACCAGTTCTGTGATGTCATCATGGAGGAGTGGAAGAGGACTCCAGAGGCAACCTGTGAAGCTCTGGTGAACTCTACACCCAAGAGGGTTAAGGCAGTGCTGGAAAACAATGGTGGCCACACAAAATATTGACACTTTGTGCCCCATTTGGACATTGTCACTTAAGGGTGTACTCACTTTTGTTGCCAGCAGTTTAGATATTAATGGCTGTGTGTTGCGTTATTTTGAGGGGACAGCACATTTACACTGTTATACAAGCTGTATACTCACTGCTTTACATTGTATCCAAGTGTTATTTTTTCAGTGTTGAGACATGAAAAGGTATACTAAAATATTTATGAAATGTCAGGGGGTGTACTCACTTCTTTGATATACTGTAAGTCCTGCTATGTCCACAGGGCTTATATGCAATGATGAATACAGACTTGAAGCCTTGGAAGGCAGCCATAAGGTCCAGTTAGAACGTCAGTCTCCCCATTTCAACAGTCATGCCCTATCGAAGCACATATTTATATAATCTCCAACATTTTCCATTTCCTTTAGTTCACTATGTAGCAAATTCCACTTGATTGAAGCATTTTCCTGATTTATTTGTTTGCTAAAACTTTAAATAAAAAATAAGGCATCTCTACACTAGAAATGTCTTCCTCTTGTGGAAAGGCCCCAAATTGTTGTTGGTTTCCAACTGGTATCACTCCCAGCTACTATGATCAATAGTTAGAGATTTTAGAGTTGGAAATGAAGAACAGATGAAGGGCTGCAATTTTCCTTATCATTGGTTAAACAGTATAATGTCCATATACCAACATTTTGCTCTTGAACCCTGTAGGGGCCAAAAACTACAACAAATAGAAACAAAAAAAAATAAATAAAAGCAGCCATTTAGTGATGCTAAACATTGTGAAGGAGGATACAAACTATTTAATAAGTGAACAGTCACTCCTGGAGCTTCTAATAAACATTCATTTCAATGGCATTCTATCTGTTCCAAAAACAGGAGAAAAGAAAAAAGAGTAAACTAATTTATATAATATCTGCCTCTGGCAGTGGGACAGGACAGCATCCACTGGTAGTTTTAAACATCTTTTAATTTCAGACAGGATCGCTAAATGGAAGCAAAACTCCAGCAACTGTACACATCACTGTTCCAGAAGTTTAAAAAGATATGCCTAGCTTTGTATGCTTTGCTTTGATTGATTAAACCCACTTTTTTCCTTAAAAACGACCTAGCGCAGCTTACAACACAGTCAATCTAATGCTTACTACAATTAAGATGGATTACAGTCATAAAAAGAAACAAACCTGGTTCTGTTTTTAAAAATGTGTGTACTGTAATACTTTGCAGCAAGACAGCATTAATACAGTATATCTGATGCAATCCTGGGAAATAACAACCATTCAAAGAAAACGTATAAGCGTGACAATGCTGCTTTCTTTTTAGAAAGCTTGATTTCATTCTGAACTGATCATAAATTAATGTTTAATGTGGACATAATTTTGATAACTCATGACTGGAAGCCTATCATTTAGGGAAACAATCCAATCCCACAGGTGCTCACTTTCTCTGGCTCTTATTTAATATAGAACTGTACTTCTGTCTTTTCCTTACAACCACATTTTAAACTGACTTTTGACACTTATACCATGAGATGCAAATCAGTACATTGCTAAAGCCTTATAATATCAATGGACATAATACACATGTATGTCATCCTATGGTAAAATAGGAGGAAAAGAAAAGAAAAACACATTTCAGGTTAATAAGACTTAAGACACAGAGTGTCATAAAAATCGTAATGAACTTTAGACACAGAGTGTCATTAAAAATCATAGTGAACTTTAGATGCAAAGTGTGTCCGAAGTAGACTAATTTTGAAAGAAAAATACCCAGTTCTTTCAGAGTGAGATGGAAGAGCACTGATTTTTCACACAGCACTCTGGGGAAACCTAATGTTTCTCCCATATTTTTCACAGAGTCAACCATCTGAAAACCAGTAATGACTGAGACGCTTCTAGGAGTAAAAACTGCTGGACAGCTCAGCGGCCAGAGATTGGGAGTTCAATCCCCTCAGCCCCACTGTGCTTCCTGAACAGGGGCTGGACACGATGATCCAAAGGGTCCCTTTCAGCTCTGCGGTTCTAAGATTATTACTGTACCTCATCATCACACCCCCTGTAAATGAGCCACAACCGCGGGCAAGTGGGAGCATCGTCGTCAGTTTATGCAGAACGATAATGCAGCTCCATAAGCCTGGTTACCCCCACATGAACCTCCAGAATGTTCTCCAAGACTACCCAGAAGTTCAATGCCAGATATATTTAAGCGAAATAAGCCACGTCTGAAAGTGACCCTTGGGGAGGGAGGGGAAAATATTGGAAAGCCACAGCATTAACACGCGCACACGGATGGACGGTGAGCCACCCCGTCGCTTCAGAAGTTTGCTCCGGAGAGAAGAGGCAGCTTGAGGGCAGGGGATGAAGGTGGGCTGCGGGGAAGCTCTCGACCGCCCCGTCCCCTGCTCTCCTTCCCTTCTTTTCCGCCCCCGCCGCCTTCCTTACCTGCCCGCGCGGGACCGGCCGCTTCCCTCTCAGGCCAATATCGATCGCGTTGCATCAGTCGGTGCGTCGCTCAACGCCTTCCGATCAGAAAACCAGCTCCCGACCCGGAACAGAGGACGAGGGATGAAAAAGAAAAGAAGGCGGCAGCCAGGCTAAGTGTCATTCCTACGGAAGGAGGAGGGAAGGAAGGTTGAGGGTCTGTAATGACAGCCGAGTGCCGTTAATGAAAAAAAAATAAGAAGGGCTGTTGGGGTGAAGAGGAACCCGGAAACTGTAGGAATGATTGAGGACGGCTCAAGTTTCCTTGGGGAACTTTTTCTCGTGCACGCCTTAAGCAGGTCTGTCGTCAGCAGACCAGGCGTACTAATAGGCGCGGAAAGGGCTTACGGCGGTGTTACTGCGAAAGGGGTCCCCCTGTCGGCAACCAGGTCGAGTGTTTCTCTTCTTTAATTTTAACCTTTACTGAGGCGTCCCCCCCGTGCAGGTAAGAGCGGGGCTCTTGGGCTGGCCTCACATATTCCTAACGCGGAAAAGACAGTCTTACAGAGCAGCGTCTTAGACTATTCCCCTGTTTTATAAATAAGGCGATGGGGTGCGAAAGACAAGCATGGTTGCTGTGCTTCTAATTGGAGCTTTGAAAGTGGAGTTTGTTAAGGTAAGCTTTAATTCCCTTCTTCTACACGGCGGTTGAAGAGGCAGGAGCCCTGTCTTCTTTTGCATCCGGCTGTTGAAGAATTAATATGGTGAATACATTGCTACACACAGTGAGTTCGTCATTATGTGTACACTACAGTCACTTTATATGGATGACTTTTTCCCCTGGTCAGACTTGTCCCTGTACTTGTATTTTAGAAAACTAAAGAAACTGGGGAAATGTGCAATGCAACTCATTAGAGCCTTGCACTTTTGCTAAATAATATTGATTAAATGACAATCTGTTGTTTTTCTTAGGAGAAAAAGCTGTGTACATTTACAGAGTTGTCAGAAGGGCATTGTTACATCTTGTTACTGAATGCTAATTGCTAGATGAAAAAAAATGCAATTGTAAAGAGTGGTACTGGTTAAGAAATTCAGCACTAGTGTTCTCCGAAGAAGTAGCTGTGTTGGTCTGTATCAGTATATTGGAAAAATTAAGGGGGGTAAAAAAAGAGAAGAAAGAACAAAATATCGAGGCGTTTAAAAAACTGAACAGATTTATGTCAGCATGAGCTTTGTCTGAAGCCATGTCTGAAGTACATTTTGATCCATGAATTATCCCAGTGAAATAAATCTGATAGACTTCAAAGTGACACTCCCCCTAATTTTGATAGCTAAGTTGTTTTATATGGAATACTACACTAGGTATTCTCAGTTCTATTGTACAGCATGGATTTGTTAGGCAACTAAAAAAAAATAGAAAGCAATGTTTGATCTGTGGATTTATTGCAGACTGCTAAGAGTTTTCTGGATTTGGGAGGTGAATCAGTGAAAAGGTATGAAAGCGAATCAAAGACTGAGAAATCACAAAACACAGAAAACTAGAGTACTTTGATCATGAAATGAGAAACAAAAATTACAGGTTGTTGCAGTTGATCACTCAGTGTGAAATGGGAAAAGCTCTGCAGGAAGGAAAATAACACTTCTTGTCTGAAGATCCTAGGAGGCTAGTTTGGATACAACACAATATTATGTAGCACTGCCACATCCAGAGTCCAGATGACCATGATAAAAACCAGTTTGTGGTGAAAAAGAAGGTTTACTATTAAACTTATAACACTGAATTGCATAGCTTTTTTAAATGAGAAAAATACTAAAAAGAGTTATTTAATTTTTTCCTCAAAATTGTCAATTTCTTTCATTGTAGATGCTATTATCTACCCCTGAGGATCTGAAAGAAGCCATTGGAAATTTTTGATTACAGCTGACTTGATGAACTCCTCACTTGTTGCATACGATGATTCAGACTCTGAGACAGAGGCTGGGGAGTTTGAAGGTGCTCCTAGTAATAAAATGACTCTGACTGATTCTTCTGTGAGTGCTCTGCAGACCTGTGGTGGGTTATGCACAGTTTCTGAAAGCAAGGACCAGCCTGTTCAATACGTTGGTAGTTCAAGAAGGAGCATTTTGCATGAAGATACTCTTCCACAACACCTACAGGTGAATAAAAAATCAGTGGTAACAAATCATCACAGGGAACTGAACCCTCCTATTTTTATGAACATAACAAGTACTAATCATAACCAACCATTAAGCCCTTTGTTGAATCCGAAAATACTTTCTGGAAATGAGTGCTGCTTGCAGAAGAGAGCTCGTGATAGTGGTGATGTCCCCATACAGGGACTGCGACCTTATATCCCCAAAAGACTGAGACAGGGAAAAAATCTAGATCTCCATAAAGCTGAAGACAGCAGTGGGAGTACTGGTTATGCAACCAAACCTGACAATGAAGGAGATCAAATGTCTATTAAAACTTCTCCGTATATCATGCCATATATAGGATCCAAATATGGAGTTACTGAAATTCCTAAGCATCTGGTGTTTCAGATGTCTGATCACAGTGGTCCAGTAAATGCAATCCAGTGGTGTCCTCAGCAGAAGTGGAGCCATATGTTGCTTTCTGCATCTATGGATAAAACCTTCAAGGTAATATTGTGAAACGTCTTTGTGTTGTAGAAAGCTTTTTATAGAGGAAACTGCATCTGAAGTGTCCTGTGAGCTGTTTTCTATGGCACGAGTTGTTTTCTGTGACATTAGCACCAGAAAATGGTGGAGACATCCATTTATTATCAAGGAGAACCTACAGTTTCTCTGGATGAGATGAGGCTTTGTTGAGTACTGTGAGCTCCTGTGTCACTGACTACACAAACTGAGGAGAGGGGGAAACACATGAGCTCTACTGAAACCTTGATACCAGGCCCAGTCAGGAGATTATGGGGCAAGGTAGCTTCTTTGGGCCCATGTTCTGATGAACCAATTTTCAATTGCTGCAGGGGAGGATGAGAAGAAGATATCAACCTTAGCTGTAGAGCAAGTATGTACAACATGTTGTTCTCTAAGGCCCAAACGAGGCCATAGTACCTCCCAATTTTATTTAATTTTTAAAAAGCAGCTGGAGAAGCCCCAATTATGCCCTCTAGGGGATATGGTAGGCAATTTTGCCATGTTTTGCTTGAGCAGTCTGGCCTGCTACATTCTCAATGCATATTTTAAAGAAAATTCTTTGGCCACTAGAGGGGGTGTAAGTGAGATTTTTACAATAAACTCCGTGTCATTTTGGTGGCATTTGTGGAGAGTGGGGATTCAGGACTAGATACAGTATGGTCCTTCAAGATCCAGGGATAAGCATCTGCAACCCCCAGACGTCTGGATTTTGCTCACCTCTGGTCTGGAGAAGCTGAAATGTAGCATTTGTGCTTTTGAGTCTGGCAGAGGCAACAATGTTCCCTAAAGTTCCTTATTGACTCCAGCTTAGTCTCTGAACAGCTGCTTTCCACAAGAAGGGAAGTGCATAACAGGAAGTGCATACATAGTAGCTAGGAAGTCTCTATAACAACAGCAGCAAGTTCTGGTGGTGATGCTGTAATGTGAAGCACCACAGTTACTGCATCACTTCTTTTGATTCTAGTAGAGTGAACTAGCAGAAATCCATGGGTCTTATGGGTGGAAAAAGGTATGTTTTTTCTCTACAACTCCCAGAATTCTATAGCTGGAATCTCACAGTAATATCTTAAAGCTAATTTATTTTATATTTTTCAAATCTGCTTTTCAACCATGTGATTTGGAAAATTAAAGTAGTTTTAAATGGTTTATCCTTCCCTTCTTCTGGGGGCACCAAGCCACTGTGTGGTTTGCCCAAGGCAACACAGCTTGGCTGTCCTTGCAGAAGGCACGGTGGGGAATTGAACACTCAACCTCTGCAGCCAGATATCTAAATCACTGAGCTATCCAGCCAGCAGTTGGACTTACGATATACAGTACTAAAAGCCCAACCCATGGTATGTTTATGTATGAGAGTTTGATGGTGTACACCTTGCAGGTGTACAGTGCACTGTTAGGTATCCTTCAGTCCCGAGAGGCTATGGTAATGTGCTCTATATGGAGGACTTAGAACAGTGTCTAGTGTGGCTGAGAAGGCCAATTTGAGAGTGGCAATCCCTTTCCGTGTTGTTTCAATGCTGTATGCGAAGCTAGTGTGTCCTCTCCAGAGCACGAAGCCTGGGTAAAATAATATGGAGGATAGACTGTTACCCAAGCAGCAGATTCCCCCTTCTCCACGTCGCTGAAATAGTCCAATGGAAAGGTAAGAGCCAATATAATTGGTTCCAGTGATGTCGCCGGAGTTGCCACAACGACACAAACTGCCTCCAGGACTCCGGCTCCGGATTTTGCCTCAAGGTTAACTCCTGAAGCCTTTTTCATTGATGGATATAGCCACAAGGCAGTGGAGGTTTACAGTCGGAGTTTTCCTTCTAGATGGGCTGCCTTCCAAGGCTGACAAGCCCCACCTACCTGGTACAGTGCACTAAAGCCTAATTAAACAAATTACTTTATGCTAATCTGGATGTTTTGTTTCCTCTCAACCTGGTTCTTTTACTCTTCTGGCCTTGCATCAGCACTGCCCAGGTAGGAGGAAAGGAAAGATTGCAGCAGTTTGCCCACAAAGGAAGGATCCACTTTTTCAACCCCTGCCCTTAGCATATTGCCCACCATGGTTCCATATGTGCATGAATCCTTGTAGTGGCAGTGACAAGGGTCCCCAATATGACATTTGCCTCCCCACTCTAGTCCACTCTGCCTGTTGCCCAAGAGCCTTTAAGTGATTGAACTTAAAGGATTTGAACTCATGACATTCAGTGTGCAAGAATGTGCAAGATTCTGCTGTACCAATGGGCTCTACCACTAGCCTTCTGCTGCTGTTTTGAGGCTTGTAATTGTCTTGTCAAAAAGCAGACAGGTCTTTGACAGTTGAGTGTCTACCAGTGGTCCTTTTAAGAGAAAGATGTGGTAAAAATATATTAAGTAAATAAAAATAAATAAACAAAAGCAAAAAAGTGCTTCAGAAAGTAAAAAAGCCAAAATGTATTGAAAAGATTCTTACAATTATGAGAGAAACTGTAGGCACAAATGCTTAAAAATATGAAAACTAAACTGAAGTTGCAGGCAAATACTGAGGTCAGAATTCAACCGAAACTACAGCTGGATAAAATATACAATAGGACTATCAAAAAGAATGCTTTATTTACATTAGTGCAAGCATGTCAATAACACACAGATAAAGCATCTGTCAAGCTTCTACTATGATAATGATATCATTGTTTTGACTAAAATTTTGCAAAGTATGGAGGAACAAAGATCTGTAACAAAGCATCTGCTACACCAAAGTCTTGGAAGACCAGAGGCCAGGAAAACTAGAATATTGTAATTGCAGAGAGGATAAACTATAGGACCTGCAAATGCAATCTTTATATATACACATTGCAACATAAGCAAGTTCAGCTTTCAGGAATGTTGTTGGAGAGTGATGTCGCATAGTTGGAGCTAGGTGATTGTTTTGCAATGACTATAGTAAACTATTGTTCAGTTTTCAATTTTAAAAGAACTTTCATTTTCAGGGCTGCTTTTTCTACACCCCCCTTAATTATTTTAGCACTATATGTACACAAAATTTCACATATTGACAAGACAGGGCTAGTACAGATTGTGTGCCAGTCATTGTCTATTCATTAAGGAGAGGGAGACAGTCACCTCGGGCAGCAGATTCTCTCTCTCTCTCTCACTCTGGCCTCTGAAACACAGAAAAATTGGGACTTTGTAAGACATTCCCCCCCAACAGTATTAAATATGTTGGTGTTTTGGCAGTGCATTTTGTCCCCAGGGGACATATCCAGCACACAAAACATATGTTGCCCATCCCTGCTGTAGGGCTTGAGTTAATTCATAAGGAAACGAGTAGTGCCCTATATCAGTTTCATATCTCTTTCTAACATTCACTTTCATTCTGTTGTTTCCTTTGTATTCTTTTTTTTACTGTTTCTGGTTGAGCCCAGAACTTAATCCAGTGCTCAGCTCTGACTGTATTTTCTGACTTAGCTTGATGAAATGTTTCTGTTTTCTGTACTTTTGAGAGTATTCTAAGCTGTTGGATGGGTTGTTTTTTTAATTGCCTTTCAGTGGATCTCATTGCTAAGGATTTAACATTGCAGTGGTGATTCTTCGAAATACAGCCAGGTTTTCTGTTAGAGCTCCCGTCCTTCAGGCAACAGATCTCAGTGTTCTGTTAAAAGGATGGCAGGTGGTCAATTACATAGTTTATTATTATACTACTACTACCATAGAGAGAGGGAAACCAATTGGTTTTTCTGCCTCAAACATCTTGGGCATTCTGTATGCTTTAAAGGAGGACAGGGCCTGTTTAAATATGATAAAGTGCTACTTGCTAGAACTGCATTCAGCCACATTATATACTAATAGGAAAAGAAAAATGAACATTTTGATAAATCTCATGGCTAGGAGAGGGAAAGTTGTACTAGTATCTTTGAAATGTCCTGTTATTGTTAGAAACTACAACAGGAATAAATTAGAATTTTAGAAGTTTCCCATTAGGAACTTCCCATATGACAGAGATTTTGTGATGCTTATTCTTTTGTCAGGCACACTGATTCATGTGGAGTCATAGAATCATAGAGCAGAATCATAGAATTTTAGAGCTGGAAGGGGCCCTCAAGGGTCATCAAATCCATCTCCCTTCTATTGTGTAGAAAATCCACAGCTAAAGCACTGCTGGTAGGTGGCCATCCAACTGCCACTTAAAAATCTTCAGTCAAAGGGAGTCCTGCCCTCTGCCCCAGGGTAGTTGATTCCCTGGTCGAATGGCTCTCCCTGTTAGGAGTCACTCTAGTGACTTCAGAGGACATCATTGAGAAGTGGCCACCTGGAGCTCAAAGGTTCGCCATATGGGGGTGATGCACACAAATCCAGCTGTCGTGCCATATGTTTATAGCTTGAGTGTCAACCCCAGAAGAAGACACACATATGGAGCAAGCCTGCTTCTGTGCACACATTTGCCCTTGCTGGTTTTGGGAATAGATAATTGTCCTGTCTGGTTTATTTTAGCATTTTTCTCTTTTTTAAGCTGAAATTCCTGGTCAAAGGGCTGAACTTGAAGCATCTCCGTTGAAAATTCTCAGGTATCAGGTGCAGAAAAAATGTTGTGGTGTTACCAGCTGAGTATAGTGTGAAAGCTTCATGGGAAAGATTTCTGCATAAATTTAGGGTAGACATGAAACCCAAGAGCTGAATGCTCCTACTAGGTGACATCCAGAAGTATGCTCTTGCTCTAAGAAACAACACAGCATCTATTATACAAAGGCAATAGTTTGCAGACCTGACTGGATATCGTGGGAACTGCACTGTCTCCCTGGGGCAAAGGTCAAGAACATGACAGAAAGCTTGCCCAGAATCCTCAAGCCCGTTGACCATTATACCTTCTTTCTCATCCATGTGAGAACAAATGATGTTGCCAGACACCCGTGTTCAGCCTACTGCAATTAACGATGAGGCCCTGGATAGGAAGGCGAAGGACCTTGAAGCACAGATGGATTTTTCATCATTCCTCCTTTTTGACAGTCATGGGCCGTCAAGAG